GGACGTCGTCTGGAGCGTTCGCGTGGCGACTGGCGGCCGCGCAGCCCTGCGTGCCAAAAGTGCGTGACTCCATTTCCTTCTAGAGGCGTCTGGATGCAGTCTTGGGTGGTCCGATTTGACCTCAAGTCCTCGAGAATAGCGACTAGCACACCTCTGTCAAGAGTCCCCAGAAACCCGCGAGGAGTCACACAGTCCACCTGTGTGATGCACGCCCTGCGAGCGGGGCGGGGTGCGCACTGTGTTCGTGCGTCGCCCATCTCTACGGGAGGTGAGTGCTCTATTTATTTATTTTATCCCTCACGAGTGCGTCGCGCAAACCGAGTGACGGCTGACGGCGGACGGCGAACGGCGAACGGCGGACGGCGGACGGCGGACGGCGGACGGCGGACGGCTGCGGCGAACGGCGACGGCTCGGCTCGCGAAGGTGCGACTGAGCCTGCCGCGCTCGGCCACTGCGGGGCGACGCATGATAGAGCATGCTGGGCGCCGCACAAGGCGCGGGGCGGCGGTGCTCACCGGCGCTCGCGGCGCTTCGGTGCTCGGGCGCGCTCGCCATTGTGGTCGTTCAGGGCGGGTCGCACAGCGCCCGCACACACACACACACACACGCGCGCGCCGCACACACACACATGCATGCACAGACACACAGTGCAAGATTGGGCGTCTTCTGCCGCAGTCCCTTTGATGGGAGGCCCCAGGGTGGGGGCCACCTCGAACCCCTAGCCAGGGATTCGAGCGGAGGGTGCCCCGGATTCATCTATCCGTCGGGCCCCGGTACATTCATTAGAACTGATCACTTTGCGCAGCAGCCGTCCCTTCGCCGACTGGACGGCAGTGCGCTGCGCTGTCGCTCTGTCGAGCACGCTCTCGTGCTTCGTTGTGACGCGGGAGTAGAGTCGAGAGGCAGCCCTCGACGAGACGACCAGCGCCGCGATGCCAGACCTCGCCGTCGCCGAGCTCAGCATTCCGGACGAGCAGAACCCCGATCCCGCAAAGCCATTGGTGATGCCCGTCGACTCAACAGTGGTAGCCTCTACCCTGCGCTTCATTCCGTGGTCGGCGGTGAGCAATCCGGCCTTCCTCAATCTGCCCCTTCCTCCTCCAGGGATGCAACCGTCGTGGGTCCAGATTCCGCAGTGGGCCGCCATCAGTGGACTTCTCCCGTTCTGTGAGCCCGATCCCGCTGTAGCCAACTACTTTGACAGACTCAGCGTCTTGCGGCTGGCCGTCTTGGCCGCGGCGTGGCGCGCATCCTCGGTGCCTTGTCCGACCTCGGCGTGTTCAGCACAGTGCACGTGGATGAGGATGCGTTCCGTACGGTGTGCGTCCAGGCACTGCATTCCCACCAAATCCCGGTGCCCGAGCTCCTTTTGCAGTGGGGTGACTTGGGGTACTCTGAGGCGAGTACCCTTGGGACCACTGCCATCTGCAGAGGCAAGAGAGGGGGTATCCGCGGGTCGGGCGGGGGGCCCCTCCCTCCTAAATGATGATTCTAGTTCTACCCTCCATAAGACAAGGCCACCTCGAATGTGCATAGTCCATAGAGGTGGGCCATTGAGAGGGGGATCCTAGAGACTGAGGGGTTTGGAGGTTATTTTTGTCCGTCTGTGGCGGTGGGTAGTCTCCCCCCATCGCCACCCAGGGGAAATATTTCCTTCTCAATATACAATAACAGGTTCTGTGATCAGAGTTCGTATGCATGCACATGCACATGTTCATACATACATGTACATGTTGTGCATGTGCATGTGCATGTGCATGTTGTTGTCATGTGCATGTTGTAACGTATGTGAACAACACCCTATTTTTTTTTCACGACCTGCTGGGTTCCAGCTGCTTGGAGGGTAGGGTGGGGTACACTCACGGGATCTGTGCAGACCCCCTACCCCCCTACCCCACGGCACACATGCACGCATAGCGCCTAGACCCCCTACCCCCCTACTCACAGGTCTCCAGATTGTTGTGACGGTAGTACGGTCGGACGGCTGTGACGGCGTTACACCAGATTGCTGTAACGGTAGTACGGTCACGCCCCGCCGCCCCACCGCGCCGTCACCGCGCGCAGAGGCGGTGGTCGACGCGGAGGAGGTAGGAGGCGTCTGGCCGAAGGCTCATCCAGCCATATCTCGTGGTGTGTGCACTGCGCAGTGTGGTTTCTTTATCTAGAGGAGGAGGAGGAGGCGACGTGGCGAGCGGAGGCGGAGGCGGCCGACGTGCTCGTCGAGACGGCTGTGAGGGTCCGTCACCGTCGAGTCAGTGCCGCCGCTGCTTTGGGCGCTTCTCGAAGGAGGCGACGGAGTATGACACCACGCCGTGAACCACGAGGACAAGGAGGCTTGCACGCTGCGCATGCCAGCTGGAGCGGGGGGGGCGCAAGCGCACGCGCCCAGAGGGGGTGGCTACCTACGCGCGGCTCGCGAGGGGCTCATGAACCAAATTAGGCGACCGTCGCATCAATTGGGGGGTATGGTCACGGGGCCGGCTCCCTGACCTTACTCCCCAACACCGGGTCGAACCCTGATGTGGTGGTTCGCTAATCTCTATTCACGGTTGTCTCTCTTTTCGCTCTACGGGGTCTTACCTTCAACCGTGGAGCTGCAGCTGGAGGCGGAAATGGCTGGGGCGTGGGTGGGGGGCCCACCCACCCCCTACCCTCTTACCCCTCCCTGCCGGGGGAAGAGCCGCCGGCCTCCCACCCCCTACCCCCATACCCCAAATTCCGTGAGGTACCTACCCCCCCCCCCCCCCCCAAAACAGCCGGAACCCTGGATTCGAGAGTTCAAGCACTCTTCATTTGGACTACGGTGTCTCTCATGAACATGAGGAAATCTCTCATGAGGAAATCTCTCTGGGCCGCTACTTCATCTACCGCTTCAACGTGTCCTACATGGTCTCCGCCGTCGAGGTCTGCCCGCAGACAAGCGCATCCACTACCAGTTCTACTTTGAGTCCCGCACCCGCGCCCTCACCGTCCGCACGGTCCGCAACGGGTGTGTCTCCTACTTCGGCGTGCCGGACGACGAGATCGCCCTCAGCATGCAGCGCGCTGTCGCCTCCGCCGCCGCCAACCTGGCCTACATCCAGACTGGCTTGTAGTCAGCCTGCTTCGCACGCTTGACAACCTTGCCCAGCACCTTGTATGCTGCTGAGTTGAGCGGCAACCGCATGCTGTACAGGCCTCGTCAGGTTCTCGCTCATCCACCCACCCTCCTCGACCTTCCCGACGATACCAGCGGGCCCGCCTCCACCTAGAAGACTGGTGCTGGGGGGTGGGTGTTCCCTGCTTCCGGCTACTGCATATACCTGAGCTAGGGCCAGAGAGACCTCGCTGGAGCCGGATTCGAGAGTTCAAGCTAACGCGGACAAAATAAAGAGGCAGGCCCGAGACTAGGCCCGAGAGCGGCCGCACACTGCTCGGTACCCCCCCTGCACATCTAAAGCCATCCCTGCTGCTAGGGGGGGGGGGGGGGTCTGACCCCCAGCAGCAGAGCGCTGCTGCTGGGGAGGGGGGGGGGGGGGTCCCCACCCCCCGTAGAAAAACGCAAGGGACCCAGTTCCCCGGTTTTTTCTGCCGCCGCCCCCTCTCCCTTTGGTTTTGGGGTTAGAGGACACCCCCAAGTGTTTGTAAACCCCCCCCCCCTCTGGTGTGAATAAGAAGGTAACCCCCGGGCCCCCCTTTTTTGGCTCAACCTAAATTTTCCCCCCCTTAAACC